ATTTTATAAAATTAAAATATTTTAAAATTATATTTCAAAATAAATCGATTGATACTAAATTTATATGAAAACTCAATATATTTTTTCGTAATATTTAGTCAAAGTTAAAAAAAAAAATTTACAAAAGGCAAATTGAGAGTTAATTTTAGAAGGGAGATATAGACGGACAGACGGTCATTTATTATTTTAAACAATGATCCACGAAATGAATAACCCTTTTGAAAGAGATATTAATTACAATTAACACATTTATTATTTTAAACAATTATCCACCACATTCTTTAAAAAAAGCATTTATTGTCATCAAAATACTCCGTATGGTAGTTGTCTTTTTAGATTTCCAAAGAGATGAAGTGGCATATAGGGAAGAGTAATATTTGAGCTCGGGAAGTCCAAAGGACAACATGCTGGGCGGGAAAACACCATCTTTATTTTTCTTTTTTCTTTTTTATTTCTCTCCCCAATTCTTTTGCTTTTGTATATAGTATAGATTTTTCTTTTCATTCCACTTTTTTTTCTTTTCCAACTAAAAAAGAATAATAATTTTCCATCTCATTTTCTTATCGTTTTCCCTTCAAATTCCCAATGTCTTAGTATAATAATTTGTCTTGGCGAAAGCAAAATGATAGATGGTCTTCGACTTCTTATCGTGCTGAATTCTAATGCGTGTATGGTTGTATTCCAATAGTTATAGAAAAGTACATTAAAGATTCTACAAAAACAAATACTCTGCATATTTTGGTGCCCCGGGAATATTTTTTCAAAAATAGAGGGGGAAAAAATAACACAGGGCTTGAAAAGTTGGGCCTCAATGCTGAAATAGCCACATCTCAATCACTTAAGTTATAGTGACAATAGTGACAATGCTAACAGGAAATAACACAAGGTAGCTCTTGCTAAGAGACTCACACTACAAGAAAAAGAGCCAATAGTGACAATAGTGACAATGCTATTATAATAAATCCATTTTTTCTTACAACAACATTTGGAGTGAGCCAATTATATATTGACAGTTCGACAGTTCCGTAAATGTCATGAAATGTTGCCACAATTTTTGAAACATATAAGCATCATAGCTTTCCAAATCCAAATATTTTGAACCATTTTGACATATAAAAGTGTCATACGAACTATGCATAAAAGGCATATTTAATAAAAAAAAAATTAGGAACTATAATAATTTAATTCATTTTAACAATAACCTAATTGATGCATTGTGTTAAAATTTTTATTTATTGCAACACTAACTAGATTGTAATAATAATGAGATTGCAACATAACAAAAGTATATATATTTAAATATGTAACTTTCAAAAGATTGATTGTAATTGTCTTGCAAAATTGAAAACTGTAATGCTACTACATTGTTCAAAATCAAAAGATGAATTTGATCCAACAAAATTAAGAACATTGTTCTAAACCAAAGTCCAGCTGCATCTTCATCTCCATCATATGGGTAAGTACTTGAATCTCATCCTAACATATAAAGAAAAAACATACATGAGTGCATGTGTAACTGTGTAAGCCAAAATATTTGTTGTTTAAAGAATAAAAATGTGCCAAAAAGAGACCATTGCCACAGTTTCTCCAACACAAATGTTCTTAAATGTCATCAGTTATGTTCTTAAAGGTCTCAAATATTCTTATTTCTTAAGTTCATATTAAGTTTTGATTTCTAACATATTTTAATTAGAAAAAGTAATTAGATGAAATAATTACAAATTACCGGTATGTGTTCCACACCACGAGTGGTAAAGGCATAATTATGAATCTGCATGAAACTGATCTCCAAATGCAGATTATAGAAGACTTACCACCTGCATATTAAACAAATTATTAAAGGTATAGTTTAAAATTTTAAGCTAAATGGACATCATTCATCAAGCTCATAAACGTAGACTAAGGCTTCATTTGGTAGCCTTATCTGCTTGTGAATACTTCACAATCCTCAATAAAAACCATTCCTGTGTGGCAGGTTGATAATGCAAAAATAAATGAACAGAATTACAATTGAATGTGAGGCCAGCTGTTCCTTCCATGAAAACAATTGAATGTTTGCAATACAAAATCTTTCTGTTCACAAGGAGAAGTTACTAGTAATATTATTCGATCAATGTAATGAAATCAGCAAAAAGGTAGTGTATGTAAGATTGCCAGTTTGAACTTCAGTAATGTAAATACTTTGCATGGATTCAATCACAATGAGCAGCATAAAGTTGAAAATTTGAAAGCAACAACACTCAATGCTTATGGCAGTATATTAAAACCCCAAAAAATCACATTATAAAACAGGAACCACTAGTTTAAGAGTAAATGGCAAAGCCAATTTGGTAAAAGATGCAAAAAGGCCAGATAAAACAAGAACTTGCAATGACAAAGGTCAAGTTTAAAACAAGGCCAAATTGGGAAAAATGCATAAAGGACAAAGGTAAATAAGTTTGTATGAATGTAGCTTTTAAGGTTGCAAGTTTGAACTTATGAAAACATCGATAAAATTTAAACAGAGATCCACCCAGAAGGAACAAGGAAATGCCGAGAGAAAATAAATGAAATGGATATGAAAATCGCATTCTTGAATGGTGAGTTGAAAGAGGAGATTTATATGAAACAACTAGAAGGGTTTACTATGTTTGGAAATGAACATAAGGTGTGCTAGTTGGAAGAGTCGTTGTATGACTTAAAGCAGACACCTAAACAATGACATCAAAAATTTGATAAGGTTGCGTTCTCACATGGTTTCTTGTTGAAAAAGACTGATAACTGACAAGTGTGTATATAGCACATTTGATGTGTTTAGTTAAGGAGTCATAATTTGTCTATATGTTAATGACATGTTGATCTTTAGTAAAGGAGTCATTGTTTGTTGCTTTAGCTTCAGCTAGTAAAGGTGAGTGGCTGAGAAACTTAGTGTATAAAATCCAGTTGTAGTCTAAATCAATATGTTAATGACATGTAGGTCTTTGGTACTAACCAAGATCAAGTCAATAGAACTAGGAAATTCTTGCTATCAAATTTCTTGCTATAGGGTCACAAGTTTTTTAAAACACTGAAATATTAAAGAGCTTGTCAAGCTCACCTGAGTTGGAATAAGTATGCACCAGGAGGTAACCAAGTATCCGTGGAAAGAATCAGATAAAAAAACCTTTTTTTTTCAAACATTTGGCTACATGTTTGGTTTTTGAAACCCAAATAGAGGTGGGGTTTTGAGTTGCCTTGTTGTGTAAAGGATGACTTATTGAAGCAAATAATGAGTTTGTATCATAACCTTGTTTGCAGAATATTTATGCCGCTTACATTCAGATTTTTTTTTTTTGAAAACAAACTGCATTAAATTTGAAGAGGAACAAAGTCAGGAGATAAATCCCAATGCATAATAGAAATCTGCTCGTGGGCTGCAGCAGCAAGAGAATGAGCAAAAAAATTAGACGATCGAGGAATAGAACTAAAAGAACAATAATTGAATCCATGCGTAAGTTTCCCACAGTCCGAGCTAGGGATGCCAATATAAGAGCGATCGTCCAGTGAGGGGTTCGCCATATTGTGACATAAGATTGCACAGTCAGAAAGTACCCGAACGGAAGACATCCCACGAACCTTAAACCAAATGAGCACCTCTTTTGCAGCAAATGTCTCCACCAATAACGGATAGAAGAAGCAAGAGAGGGGTCCATTAAGTAACGACAGTCCAGATTCACTCCACACACGCACAGCATAGACACAAGTGAAGAAATTAAACACTTTGCATGGATTCAATTGAAACAAGCTTAATAGAATTGAAATTTTGGAAGCAACAAAAGTCGATGCTGAAGGCAGTATAAGTTTTAAGTAGAACTTCAAGTGTAAAAACCCCAAAAAAATCACATTATAAAACTTGTTCTACTAGGGAAGTAAGTCCTTTGCAAAGGCATATGGCCATATCACAATCCTAATCACATGAATCACTAGTTTAAAAGTAAATAGCAACACCTATTTGGAAAAAGATGCAAAAAGGCCAAAAAAAAAAAAGAACTTGCAATGACAAAGATTGAGTTTTAAAGTAAATGACAAGGCCAAATTTGGAAAAATGCAGAAAGGCCAAACACAAATAAGAACAAGGCCCCCAATCTGTAGCATCTGTAACTGCTAAGGTTGTAAGTTTGAACTTCTGCAACATAAGTAAAAATTAAACAGAGATTCATCCAAACGAACAAGAAAATGCCCAGTAAAAAAACTAAATTTGCAAAATTAGGGCTATAAACTTCAAGTCAGCCACAGTTCAATGCGCAGGGGTGTGTAATCTAGGGTTAGCAATACACCGAAACAGAAAAAAAAAACGCATTTAATCGAATCCAAAAAGCACAGATTAGGGGAGAAAATCAAACAGGGGAAACTCTAATAAAATTCAGGGGAAAGAAAAAAGGGGCAAAAAAAAAAATTTGGACCATTTCTCGATTTGTGCGTGTCATCCTTGCGCAGGGGCCATGCTAATCTTCTCTGTATCGTTCCAATTTTATCGGATGTCCCCGAAGGGACGATCTCCTCTATGACTCTGGAGAATATGAAGGAGAAGGTCTGAGCTTTATTTGCCGGTGTGGGATAAAGCCTATTGAAACCCAAAGTTAATTTGCACAACTCCATATCTCTTTTTTTTTTTTTTNGTCTCCTAGGGATGCAAGTCCTTTGCAAAACCATATCCAGGAAAAGATGCAAAAAGGCCAAAAAAAATAAGAACTTGCAATAACAAAGATTAAGTTTTAGAGTAAATGACAAGGTCGAACTGGTAAAAGACACAGAAAGGGAAAAAAACAAATCAAGACAATGCCCAGAGATTCATCCCAACGAACAAGAAAATACCCAGGAAAAGAGAAACCAAGTTTGCAAAAATTAGGACAATAAACTTCAGGTCAGCCACAGTTCAGTGCGCAGAGGTGTAATCTAGCTAGGGTTAGCATTACACAGAAACAGAACAAAAAAACACAATCGAATCAAAACCCACAGATTAGAGAAAAAAGCAAACAGGAGAAACCCTAAAATTCAGGGGAAAGAAAAAAGGGCCAAAAAAAAAAAATTTGGACCATTTCTCGATTTGTGCGTGTCATCCTTGCGCAGGGGCCATGCTAATCTTCTCTGTATCGTTCCAATTTTATCGGATGTCCCCGAAGGGACGATCTCCTCTATGACTCTGGAGAATATGAAGGAGAAGGTCTGAGCTTTATTTGCCGGTGTGGGATAAAGCCTATTGAAACCCAAAGTTAATTTGCACAACTCCATATCTCTTTTTTTTTTTTTTGAATTTTTCCAGATGAAAAGGTTTGGTTCTATGAAGGAAGATTTTGTTTTAATATTTAAGACTAGGGGTTTTCAGAGATTTTCCAAACTCAAGAAAAATAGGGAACTACAAAATAATTAAATACGTTGTAGAAATATTTATTATTATTATTATTATTAACTGACTGGATGTCATAATTTTAAATTTTAAAAATTAATTAATTTTTAATTTGTCCAAAATATATTCTCGGCTTCTAAAATGTAAAACTCAAGGAAAATAGTAAATTACAGTACAATTAGTCCTTTCTTCCGGAGAAATTTTTACATTTGAATTTTCATAGTCAAACTTTATAAGTTCTTACCATAATGTTTTTCAAAAATTGTGTTTAAATGTATTGTTAATTTAGGACAAATGAAATGAACACAAATTATCCTAGAAACGGTGGAAGTATATGCGTTGATATTGAAAATACAAATGATAATAGTAATTGATTTGAGGCAAAAGAAAAAATATTATATTCCTTTACGGAGTTCGAAAGATGAATTAAAAAATTAGTGTAGAGTTAGAATTAAGTCACAAAGTCTGGAAAAAAAAGTAAAAACCAAATACAATAATTATAAACTCCTTTCATCTCATAGATTTTTTCAAACACTATTCATAAAATAAAATTTTAAATTTACATTTACAATCAAATAAATCGAATTAAAAATAAAATCAATCAAGTCTTGTAATGTATGATGAGAAGATCTATGAAAAATATGCTTTTGAGATTTTTTTTAATATTTGACAGTCTTTTGAACATTTCACATTATACTCTGTATCATATACTCGTATAACGGCAAAATTGTTTCCACAGTTTGACAATGTAACTTTGATTTGGTCATGTCATATTTTTGGATTGTTTCAACCGTTCCTAGACATCTAGTAATTACCAGAGCATTATGGTGGCCGTGAAAACTAACGGTAATCTCATTAGCAGAAACGCAACAAAAACGTGTGCAGTAATTTTTTGAATTATAATATAATATTTGTTTTTAAATTTGTTAACAAATTTAATTGTACTCCACTAAACATGAATGGAGGGCAAAAATGTTTTGATAAGTAGTTGTATGTCCTTTTTTTTAATTGAAGTTGTATGTTCTATTGTACTCCTAGTATAAAACATTATAGGTCTTATTTTATGCCCTAATATGGTTTGGCATGAATGACATGGTACCATCTATCCAAATTCTAAACGACGACATATCGATTGGTTTTAGTCGTAAAATCAAATCGAACCATACCATATTGTTTAAGTAGTTACAGTACAACAATAGAAGGTCCCGAAAATGTACTCTGTAATCACTCATTGTTGCAGATTTCGTAATTTGGCTAGACTAGTACGGAGTAACTTGTAGATATTGTATTTGTGTTTAATAAAATCACTTCAGATTGTGTAATATTCCGCACAATAAGCTTAGGGGTACACCAAATTAGTGTACCCCATTTGTACACCAGGCAAATTATAAACACTAAATGTCTGTGATCACAAACATTTAATGTGGGTGTTTGTCTGGTGTACAAATGAGATATACCATTTTGGTGTATCGGCCCTATTTCTTACTAGGTTTCTGAGTAGTTTTTTTCAGCCACCAAATTCCGATTTAACCTCAAGACCTCGGGTCGACGGGACAAAACGGTAGTTGGTTTGTTTGAGTCGGTACGGGTATTATCACTACTCTGGTTGTCTTGGACGATGGAGAAGAGGGTAGTAGTGGAAGTAGTTGTGGTAGTAGTAGAGATGACACTTGGGTGGTATCTTCTAAACAGTTACTCAAGGGTAGTAGTATGGGAGAGTTTGGGGACACCTTCTCCAGCGCCCCAGCTTTATCGTAAACCCCTTCCAACGCGTACACGAACCCTTTCCACCCTTCTCCCACCCCTTCCCTCGCCAGGGCTGGCAATGTCCATTCAACCAACTGCTTCACAAACTTGGCATCAGAGAACAGAACTTCACTTATGGGCAGTAATGGCAGAAGTTGTATTCCCAGCCTGCACTCCTTCCATTCTGCAGGAGCAAACCATAGGCCACTGTCCCTTTTAGTAGCCCACAGGACACCCACCACGCGGTTCTCCCTGGCAAACACTTCTGGGTACAAATTGTTATCCTCTCTAATGTGCCACCAAGTCTGTGCCGATTGAATTTCAAAGGCTGAGAGTGTGGATCCAACGGCTACAAGATGTGTGTCGCCGTAAGCCAACCCCATCAGAGCTGCAGAATAGTAAGCATTTATCGCCTCGCTCGTGCTCTCCTGGTTTCTCCCATCTGCAAATTCTGTCAACCCTCCTGCCCAAGAATGGAGCTTCCACAAGTCAAAACACCTCAACCGCGTGTAATTTGAATGCCTGCTAAGATTCATGAAATCTGCAACTAGAGAATACGCCTGCCCCTTGTACTTCCTCCCCCATGCCGAATCAATCTTGGATAGCACAGCGATTGCGTAAACAAAGTACCCAATGTGATAATGGTGATCATTGAAGATCCCAAATCCAAAATCTGCTCCTGTATCTGTTAAGCCTTGTCTGGTCACGAGTCCACCCCATTTGGAATCGTACAAGAATCCATTAGCATTGAAAGTTCCATCCAACCAGGGCTCAATTGCAGCCTTCAAGAAGCTTCGGATTGTTGGAATCGCGTCAGAGTGTGAGACCTCTTCAGCTATCAATGCCAGCCTTGCTGCTCTTGCAATCAACTTACCATAAAAATAGGACGACGAAGTCTGGATTTTTGCAGAATCCAGCGCGAGCACATCTGCATTGAGTGCAGCGATAACCTCTCTGTGTGATTCCTCATTGATGCCTTTGATGGAGTGCCAAGTCACTGAAATCGGATCGCACTTCAAGAGCCATGAATCCCCAACAATGCCTACAAGATCACCATCGATGCTGCTGTATTTGAACACATCTAAAATGGTGAATCTACAACCAGCGTCTGAAAGAAGACGAAGATGAAGGGGATGAGCAAGCATCAGCAGATCTCCCCATCCCCTTTTCTCCCACTTATACTCCAAGCAAAATGGCTTGGAGAACACGGCGTCACCTGCAATGGGATAACAAGAACTGAACCCGTCGAGAACCGGTTCACAAATCAGATCAGAGTCCGGCAAGAGAGCAATCCTGAACACGCCAAGGAAGTCCCCGGAAGTGATGGTAGACAAATCATGGCTCAAATTGATGGGCGAAGAGGTATAGAGAAGCCACGTCTGGTTATTGTTGAGCTTGATCGTGTATTTGGTCTGAGATTCATTGGGCGAACATTCTAGAATCGCGTGGATGGTTGAAATTGAGATCGGGACTATCCGGTTTACTTCACAGGTCAGGAAGGGGCTGCCCCTGACGAGGAAGAACCTGAGATTGCTGGAGGGAAGGTCGAGCGTGAGACTGAGATCGCTGAACGAGGAAACCACATGGGCCGCATTAGGGTCCGCATTGTTCAGAGCGGAAATGGTGAGATCCGAATTGAAAATCTGGTAGACGAAGGCAGGGTTTCGGAACTGGGAGGGGTAACACAGAGAGAGCGACGATTGCGAGGATTTGACGAGATATGGATGGATGTATTCCGGCTGATCGCCATTTTTGAGGACGAAGTTCTGGAAGAAGGAATTCGTCGGGAGAGGCTTGGAGAGGAGGTGGGCGGCGAAGAAACGGGAGGGATCAGGGAGGACGGTGGACTGTGCTCGTGGGAAGACGAAAGGCCGGTGCGCTGGTGCAGGCGGAGACATGGCTGCGGCAGCGGGAGAAGAGGACAGTATCGGCGGAGGCGAGGATGAATGCAGCGGTGGTTGTGGCGGTTGTTGGGGTCGTCGTCTTGACGGAGTTTGTTTATAGAGTTTGTTGAATGACTTGGAGATAATGTATTTGACTTTTCTGGCTATCTTTTTCAACGCCATCATCACCCGTGGAACCTTAGCCGCGTAATCTAATAAAGAAAAATAAACAAATTAATTTAAATTATAATTAATCGTTCATTCAAAACTAGTTAAATTTGTCTTTTAATATGTACTTCTTTCATCTCACAATTGATTATAATATTCTCTCGGTCCTAAATTAGATGTCACTGTTACTATTATGGATTCTCAATAACTTTTATTTGTATATACGTTTTCATTAATAATTTGATATTACAAAATGTTCTTGTCACTTTCCGTTTTATAGAGTTTTTAACATACTTTTAAATGATACAACCTAAAATGATATGGAGTACTTCTTAAATTAATATACTTTTTATTTCCATATTTGTAATTAAATGATTTTAAAAATGACGAGAATTTGCACGTCATTTGAAGTGTAATATCCAATATGAGACGGATATTATTATTCTAAATCACGATGACATTTATTTATTTATATATTTTTATTGATAATTTGATAAAATAAAATTTTTTTATCACCTTTTATTTTTTAGAACTTTTTATATAGGTTTTAATAATGTAAGTTTTATTTTTTTATTTATGTCTTAATCTTAAATAAAATAAATTGAAAAATTCAATTTTTTCTGTTTAACGTAATTCGTAATCAAAATAGGGCGCAAGGAGTAAAAAAAACTTTTGCTCTGGTATGAATCATTCTTTACTATTGTTGTAAAAATCAGATTCAAGTGTTACCTATATGTACCTCCTTTCGACAAGCTCTTGGATCTACCCGCGCGCACAAATGTGGAAGTCAACTATATGGACGAAATAAATGGAGAAACTTTGTTATTACAACTCCGAGTCTTTTTCAAACAAATCGATTTCGTGAGTGTCATAAATCAATATATTATGTTATAAGAGACAAAATTTATTTATTTATTTATTCTAATAGAAATTTTGATGGGTGTACATCAACTTGATGTAGATATAAAGATTTAGTGTTGTTATTGCTCCAAACAATGCAATGGATGGTAGACATGGCTTAGGCTTAGATAGGGCTCAAGCTCTTAGCTTATGCTTAAGGCAAGAGACAAAGCAAGCATTGCTTAAGTAGGGGGAGTCTTTTGATATGGGAAACAACAAAACCCCATCCTAAAGTCATGATTATTCTAAAGATTTGGCAACTAACAACGTTAGAGGTCAAACTTACAAAGAGGGCTATAACCGTTATCACAAGTCATCTCAATTGTCACATATTGAACAATTGTATAAGACCAACCCAAAGTACCTTCGTTCAAAGCCGAACTCAAACCCAAAGTACGAACCCAACTAATCCCACAGTTGAGAGAGGAAGCACTATCCCAATAGTTTGGGATGCCCAATGTGCTTTTCCTATGGAGTTTGTTTATAGAGTTTATTGATCTTTTTGGTGATCTTTTTCAACGCCATCAACTCGAACCTTAGCGAGCAGCATAATCTAAAGAAAAATGAATGAATCAAATTAAATTACCCCGAAGTAATTAAGCAGTGCAAGCAAAGCCACACATGTAAAAAAAAGCACAGAGAATGTTGTTCAAAGTGTCTTCTCTAAGCAGAACACTGCAAAATATAAAGCATTTTCACTTTTTTGCTATGGGCAATAAAGTGCCAAAAAAAGTTTAGAACAATGACAATGTTACTGGCAAGTTACAACAACCCATGCTTTTCTAACTGCACTATGAAGGTTGTCTATTGTATGTCCTAATGTATGAAATTTTGAAATTTTCTAAATTCTAGCTTGTTACAACACACTGTAAAAAAAACTTCGTCATGGAGTTTAAGAGAAACATGCTTAATTCGCTTATGAAATGGGAAGGTACTGTCAAGTTGTTGCCTAATTTTTCAAAAGGAGACATGTAAACATGAACTCATATTCGAGGAATAGAGAAGTTTCACACGAAAGTAAAGGGATCCGGAAATAATTAAAAAGCGAATGCATTTGTCAAATTGCTCTGTAATACGGAGTATGTGAATAGAAACTGTAATGAGGAGTAAAGATATCTATTTTCCAAAAATAAGTAGGAGAAAGAGAAGTATGAAGTACTTACAACGGATCAATTGTAAGCTGTTGACAATTGTAATAGCGCTATTAAGATGCTCTTGTAAAAAACCTAAAACACAGACTTTAAAAAGGATCAATTTCATAAGACATAAAAAGATTTCAAATAAGGTAGCAAGAACAACCTTTTAGGGTTGGGTGGTAACCTTCAGCATTGAAGAAATACAAACATCTATGGAGTCCGGCATAAATTAATCATCTAAATGAACTTAATCTCAAATGTCTCTTTTTTTTTTTCCTTTTGCACTGCAAATGGCTTTAGACAGATTTTTTAAATAGAAAATGCATCGATCTTAAAAGCATCAATACGAATGAATACTACTATTCAGATGTTCAAATTGATGAAAACTCATGGGTAACAAATACGTCAAAATAGCATGTGATAACCAATTCATGGGGGTACCAAACACCGTTCCTATTACCAATTGCAAACACTCAAAAGGTATGAGTTTTCAGGTAGACAATAAAAACATCTAAAATTGTGATTGTGCATAAAAAATGGATATCCCAAAAGTAAATAAATCAAAGGAGTGATGAGATTACCTTGAGATACTCAAAAAAAATTGGAGACGTATTTCAAACGTTGTGTTAGGGGTCAGAGAAATACAATGCAAAACTGGAAACTCTACACTTATAATCCCGAAAAAGATGCTCAAAATCTTCCTTCGCATCTCCAGAGAGTACTCAGTCCTCACCGATAGGCATATATCTTGCCAATTTAGTCCAAACTTGTAGTTTCTATTTACACATTAACCAGAGAAGAATTTGGCATTTCAGATGTCCCATTTTGTATGAAATAGTTCTGATCCATCAAAGTTTATTAGACTCCACCAGTGGCCACCTATAAGCACATGAGGTTCCAAAACCTGCTATCTGCTTCACTAAAAGTTCAACTTTAACTGCTGATTTTTACCATTTTAGTCAAATTGACATAGAGTGATTTTTAGACATCAAACATATCCCAAAATGTCCAGCTAGCAAACCCAAAAAGGAAGTACGCCAAACAGGTTTTATGGCGTAAGTTTTAGCGTTGCAACTTTACAAAACAAAAATAATCTGTAGTGTTTCAAAACACTTAACTGACTAAACGGTAGTGATTATCTAAACTTATAGATTAGTCGTTCAAAAGATGAAAATAAATCCATAAAAGAGCAAAAATGTAAATTTAAAATTATCTGCTTTCAAAGCAAAACAAAAAACAATAAAAAATTACCAGAAGGAGCTGTTTGGCATAGCTGAAGACACCATACAATACTCTGTGATTTGACCATTTTCAAAGGAAATATAGAAGTGCAAGAGGTCCATCAACAGTAAGATATGCATCAAACATGAGCCCTCAAGAAAATGGCCCTTACTTCCTGTGTCCAAAATAAAAAGTCAAGTTTAACCAGACATGAAGTTTAAGAATACTGTTCAAAGGCGAAAAGTGTAAGGTTGAAATTGATACAAAAAAGAAAGAAATAATGATGGCCCTTACTTCATGTGTCCAAAATAAAAAGTCGAGTTTAACCAAACAAGGAAATGAACTTTTATCTTGGAAAAGACAAAGAAACTGTGTTGTTTATTTTGGGACGAAATGAGTACTTTGTATTTATAAATCGTATTTAGCATTTTACCCATCCCATTTAACTCTGACTTACTTGAGCTTTTTCTAACACATTTTAATCCTATTGCACCATATACTATATATCATTAAATCATACGGATGAACTGTGCATTATAGATATAAGGACACAGGAAGCTAAAGAGCTTGAGAACAGGAACGGTCATACCTTCGTCATGATGGGCAAGTTGGCTGTTTACTCCTGTAAACAACAAAGCCCATTAAATCCACCAAATAAAGAAGTTCACTCCATATAATGAAATTCTTAAGCTGGCCATGTCAGAGATGTCCAACAAAACAAAAGAATTTGGTAGTGTTTCAGTCCACTCTACAAGGGGGAGACTTGAAAATACCCAAATCCGCTCAAAATCCCAGTAAAAGATAAACTTTCCCAAAGATGGATCACTAATGATTTGATATCCCAAATCGAAGAGAAATGTTTCCCTTTCATGTAATTATAATGGTAATAATAAAATTAATAATATAGATAATGATAATAATAATGATGGTAAATAACCTATTCTTTTATTAAAATTTGAACTCTGTATATTATACATGAGTAATGATCTGAATCTGAAACATTTTTTCTAATCATTGCATTCTATGCGCGGAGAATTCTCTTGTTCTCAGTTCTCAGATCTTATACATGGCAGACTGGCTGATAATCTTCTTAGTTCTCAGCTTCGACACTGAAAATTATAAACCTTGTACACTCAGTGTCATCTTTAGCACCAAAATAGATTATTTCAAACCCAGATTGAACAGTTCATTTTTCATGAGAATTTGCACCACCTGTTTTGGGTTTGTGGTTGTTTAATTCACACAAAGAATTTCTGTTTCGTTTAGTCCACAACCATGTCTTTGCGAAGTAATTGCACATTCAAAAAGGATACTAAAAACTACTGAACAACCCAAATGCCAAAAAAAAAAGAGGATAACACCCGACATTGAAAGATGGCAAGAAAACCCTCAACCATCTCAAAACAACCTCAAAACCATCACACATACACACTTCCACATGAATACAACATAAAACACACCAATAACGCACTCATGCACACCAACATAAAACTTGTTTTTGATCATGAAGGTGGAATCGTTTCATAAACGCTGCAATGAAAGAAGTACCAATAATACCATGACCCATATGAACAAAATTACTAGACAAAACAAAAAATATAGATATTAAGAAAATGAAAATAGAGAAGAGGAAGAAGAACATGAATGATGTTTTATTTGCGTGATATATAGAAGATTATAATTTTTTTCTTCTCAAAACAGAATTCTTATGACAAGTGAGGGTGAAGAAGGGTTTGGTCTAGTTGGACAACAGATCCGTAATACCTTACAACACCGAACTCCCACTACTCTTTGAGGCACACATCAACGTACATCGAGTAGTGAAACAAATCCAAGGCAAGTACCTGTTCAAGTATTCCTGGCAGAGCATCAATAATCGTCATCACAAATAAACAACAAACAAAAAAACATCACCACCTGAGGATGATGAAATCAGCAATACCTCGACTGTCGCTACCTATCAGCATGTGAAGCAATATCGAGGATATTTGATATGATATCCATCACAGAAGTACTGCGATCTTATGCATATCTGTCCACTTGCTGGGTGAAAAACTACTAGTACTCAAAGATGACCAGAACATTCTAAAGTTACTGATCAACAAACATCGTCACACCAAACAATGCTCACGAGTGGATGACCATTAACAAAGCTTCGGATGAAGTAAGAGTGGAATCAAAGGGTCTGGGTATGTAGTGAGGAGGAAGGGGACTGGATATGTGTTAAAGAATGGACATGACAGAAACAAGCAAAGGAAAATGCTTGGGAAGAATAGCGCAAGCACCCAACAGCTGGAGAATGTTACTACCTATGACTGCTCCTCGTCTGATCTCAAGCAAAGGTCCAACATGTTTTGAAGACATCCGCACAATAATACCATTGCCGGGAGAGGATGAAACATCATGGATTAAGACATCCACAATTCAGAAAATAAGTTTCCTAAATTATCATCCTTACATGAGTAAATGATCTCCCAAACACAATTGCAAACAACCAAGGATGTATTTAAATGAGAGAGTACTATCAAGTTTACCCTTTCTTATATGGTCTAAAATTACACCCTTAAATAACCTTGACATAAAGTGAAACATCCTTTTATGCCAGGATATCATCAAATGATGGGCTTGAATTGATAAGCTTTATGTGAACCAAGAAAGCATCGTTTAGAAGGAAAAAAAAGCTAGACACTTTCTAGGATAACATAGTGGAACACTCAGACATTTCCAACACAGACAAACCTACAAGTGATCAAAGTCTGAGTAGAAGGGCATGTAAGTTTACTAGAAATTCCTCGGAAAACCTATGATGTCTATGCCTCCAATATTAGATTCAGAGGACTCTCCCCCTACCAATACAACCACCACATCCTTAATTAGATGATAGACACCAGTAATCCAAAATAAAGCAGGAAACTGAATAAAAACATACTTGTTATATATGCCATTTTTTCAAAGAGAAGACTACATTCTATTTCATTATTCTATATGTCAACATCTTATGTTTTTTTCCACAACAAGTGGCTAGCACAAAGAAAAAAAGTGATTTTTTCCATCTTTTGGATTTTAACACGTCCAAATCTTGCACATTTTCTTCTTGCCACCAACTGGTAACAGGGTTTGAATGTGTTGAACCACGTAGAATGTTTTGGACTCGACATCAAATCTTTTATGTGAGAGGGTACTGAGATCCAGCATCATGAAACTACACACCCTTGAACGTTGATTGTCATACCTAGGAGCATTCAAAAAGCACAGCATGTTGTGCTTCCCAATATCTATGGGACACAAATGCAATGCAGGTGGACGCTTTGTACTTTTTTCAACCCAACTCTCCGAGTCCCTAAGCCACCACTCTATCTCTCCTCTGCCGTATGAAGAATCAAATAACATACATAGATTTGTCCTGAAAACTGAAAGCCGACAAGATAAAGGATCAAGCTTCCCAGAAGGCATATCGATGAGACTGAAGTTTTCTGATGGTGTTAAAAGCAATGATCTTTCCATGAGAACCCATCCAATACATCGATCCTTTAGTGCTTACCGTGTGATAACACAGCATACACAAGCCTTTTATGACTTTCAACGGGTCAAGACTAAGCTCTTTCCAGCCGGTAGAAGTAGATGAATACAACTGCGCTCTATAGATTTTCAGCACAGGTATGTCAGTCGCTATCATCACGATTTTGTAATCCACGCTCCCTGGATTGAAACACAACCCGACAAAGAACATTCCACGAAAGTCTGCAGTAAATGCAGGTGGAATGAGTGCAGCATCAAGAAGAACCGGATTCCAGCATATGAGGGAAGGTGGAGACAGATTCTCTGTGTAGATATGAGAAGTTTGAGGTGGCTTGGGACACCTGAGGCAGACCACCCCATCTGAAGAGCAAGCAATACCCACTTCCTTTATGGTATGTTTGGGAACATGGATTTGGATTTCAAATCTGGATTTGGCTTAAATTCCATGTTTGGGAAACTTAAGCATTTTGAATTTGGATTTGAATCAAATTCTTTACATTCAAAACCAAGCTTAATTTGAAATCCATGCACCTCCCCTTGTCATTTGAAATTCAGGATTTCAAATTTTGGAATTGAAATACATGAATTGAAATGAAATGCTAGTTGCCAAACACTACCTTAAAGAATTCGGAATGTTTATGAAGGGGTCTGGCAATTCTTTGACGAGCATGTCTTGGTATTCAAGAAAATGTAAACCCAATCCCCTCTCCCGCTGGAGATGGAAAAGGATTGAGCCTTCATGATTACCGGAAATATGATCAGCGTGAAGTGTGAGAAAAGACGGCATCTTGATGATTTTCCTCCAAGATTTGCAGACCAACTGGAATCTGACGAGCGATTGTGCGGGGAGATTCTTCAGGATGTTAATCACTATTTCCTCCGGGAAATAGAGTGAACCAGCACCCTTCATCTCTTCTGAGAATTTGAGAACGAAATAATATTAGGGAGAGGGAGTATTCTTTTCAAGGCTTTGATTTTTACAACCCAGCCGTTTCTAATGGAGCTCCAAACTCTCTTTTCTTAGTGGGGATGAAGAAGAAGTTGGCCTGCGAGAGATCGTCTTTCAGAAGAAAAAAGAAAAAAGATTGGATGAAGAAGCCGGCCTGGGAAAGATTGGATGCAGCAGCGGTTCTGGAAGAAAAACGAAAACGGAAAGGAGAAGGGCAGCGGGGGAACGAAGAATTTAACGGAGTTTGATAGGGGAATAAAGGGTATCCGTAAAAAATGCACTCTTCAAACTTCAAAGTGGTGAAAAAGGGTGATTGGGTAAACTATTGTGTAATGATTCTATTATTTTTTTGTTTTCTTAGAATATTCATTTAAATATAAAAAAGATAAATTAAATAACAAAATAAAAATTTATTTGATACATTGCTATATAAATAAAAAAAACTATTAAGAATTTTTATTCAATTAAAATAGCAAATAAAAAACTTTAATAAAAATATTAAAAATAAAAAAATACAATAAAAAACTCATTAATCATCTATATCTCGATTAGTTGGAACACGCCTGACCAAATCTCTTTTGAGCATGTTGTGTATCTCACTACTCCGTACCTCGACTCGTATTGTGTTTCTTTCATCATCTCTAATTTGTGTATCTGGTACATCTACATCTTCATAATTTTGACATATTGTTTTTCTATTATCTTCCAAGACCATATTATGCAAAATCATTCATGCATACATAGCAGCCTTATTTTTTCTATTTCTCCTAAATTTGACACTTATTTCTCACTTTATTGGTATTTTTCAGTTAACTAAATGCTCTCTCGATGTCCAGTCAATATCCTGTCACACCGTCTCTTGCTTCTTTTAAAATTACTTTCTTTTTTCGTCATCTTCAGCGAGACATGTAAACGGTTTCACAAACATCGTGTATTCATGACAGATCTCATCTGCAAAATGGTATCCATATTAGTGATACTTATCATTAACATAAAAAGAAGATCCAATCGCAATGTAACAAAAACCTAGGTTGCACGGGTTCGGCAGTTTGGTGCCGCCTCCCGCTCCGGAAGCGATGCGGGGACGGAATCGCTGGCGGGGACGGCGACCGGCGAACCGGATTCGCATCTAAAGCTTCGGAATCGTCGGCGTATTCAATATGAACGGATCCGAGAATTCTGAGACGGATCCCTGCCGGCCTCCGCTCCGGAAGCAGACGGAACAGATCTAGAGCAGACGGAACTGATCTGTACCTTCCGAACAGATCCGCCCATCCGCATCCGACGATCCTTCCCTTTGCAATTGTTTTGTACTTTTGTTGGAGTCAACTATGTGGTCCAAAATGTTTCAACCCAATTTTTTTCTGCTACAGTGCTACGGAGTGTATTAGTACAGAGAATTAAAAAAATTGGGTTCTTACCCACGGTAAATGTTTGGGTTCTTACCCATTTTAATTAAGTAAAATATTATTTTTAACATTTACATGCCTATATTTAATATTTAATTATGTTTTGTTGTCGAATCCTTGCCGTCCCCGCATCCTTAAATTTTGAAAAATGCCGATTCCCGAATCCGTCCCCGTCCCCGTATATGTACCCGCACCCGTCCCAGTGCAACCTAGACAAAAACATTAGAAAAAAGCATAGACTGATCTAAAATATTTATGTTGTTATACGACTCGACTATCTGAAAGTGAGCATGTTATATCCAAAGATCATTCGACGCAACTGCTTCAAACACTATTATGGGGTGTTCATAGTCACCCCTTTGTTGTGTTCCTAGCCAGTGGAGTATTTTTCCCGAACCCAGTGTGTGCAGTCAATGCTACTAAGCATCCTAAGGAAATCGTGTACTTCAAGGAGAGTGTATATTTGTTGTATGTCTCTTCCTATTAGTGTATGCAAGTATTTATACCCGTACACCTCAATGATATCTTGAGAAATATTTTATTCGAATTAGGATATCACGATTTTTATATTACGTGTTTATTAAATAAAAAGTTTCTTTGCAAAAATGATATATTGTGTCTCTATATTCACTCTCCATGAACGACCCATCTTTCCCGCTCTTCCTCAAATTTTCTTCAGACCTACTCTGATGCAGACTGGGCCGGGTGCCCTAACACGCGATGCTCCACCTCTGGTTATTTTGTATTTTTAGAGAACAACTTGGTCTCATGGTCTTCCTAGTGGCAAGCCACCACCTCCAGATCTAGTGCTGAGCTAAGGCAGAATACAAAGTCGTTGCAAACGTTTTTGCTGAAACCAGTTGGATTCGAAATTTTCTTCTTGAACTCCATCAACCACTACACCAAGCCACCATTGCGTTCTACGACAATATCAGTGTTGTCTACTTGTCCTCAAAACCGGTGCAGCATCAACATACTAAGCATGTTGAAGTTGATATTCATTTTGTTAGAGATAAAGTTGCATTAGGGAAAGTTCGAGTTCTTCATGTATCATCCTCTTCCCAGTTCGCAGACATCTTCACAAAAGGATTGTGGTCACTTCTCTTCACAGATTTTTGACACAACCTTGGAGTCCAAAGATCACCGATGGAGTTGGTAGCATGTTAAATATGTTAAGTAAATATTAAATCCTTTATATATAATATTTGAGAGTTAAACTCCTAGAATGTTGACATTTGTCATGCTAAGTGGACAAAATTTTTAACAACTCATCTGCCATGTCATCAATGTCATCATCAAGTGAATGTATTTATTGGGCTTTCTTAACCAAATCAGATCGAAATGACTCGGATGGTTGATTTGAGAAAAATTCACCCCTTCGATCCTAAGAGAAAAACTCACCTGTTCATCAATGCGATTTATGCGATTTAGATTCTGGAGATTCGCAATCAATTATATGCGAAATTTCTTAAATTTCTTCGATATGAAGATGAACGAAATTACAGTAAGTTTCCTTCGCAGATGATATGCGAAATTTCTGTGAATTTTTTTGATATGGAGATGCACTCTCCTTGGTAGATGGATGCAGTTTCCTTCGAAGATGAAATTTTGATGAGCGAAATTTCATCGGCACCAAACTCTTGCCCAAAAACATTAACTTTCCTTAATTCTTTGTCCAATTCCATTTTTTCACGGAATTCCTTAATACGATTTAGTTCATATATAAATCAATTCTAAATTAGCCATTTGATCAATCTTGGTTTGTATGGGCTACTCATACCTAAAATCTTTGCACAATTGACATGTCTACCAAACTCATTCACCCTTTGCTGAAAATGAATCCAACAAGTGAATGCTGGAGAGTTTTAGTTCGTGTGGTTCGATTGTATAAGATGCCGGATTACAATGATGACAAAGTCACTAATTCGATTGAGATGATATTCATGGACGAACATGTTAGAATTATATTCTTATACGAATTTTGCATACATTATATGAATTTGGCATACATTACTGCATACATCACTGCATACATTATATGAATTTGGCATACATTACTGCATCCATGGGGACCAAAGAAGCCCTAACTTGGCTCTATTTTCAGCTCTTCAGAAAAAAACAGTATTTTTAACCAAATTGCATAAGTAGTATAATATATTGTACTTCATTTTGATTTATAAAATTAAATGATGCTTTACGAGAAGGATAGTCATAATTTCAAACTTAATTTTAGTGCAGTATTGTTTTGTTCCAATTCATGTTCACTTGGTTATGGTGGATGATTATATTTTTTTAACGATTGTTTATAATTTTGGTGAGTACGATGTGATAGATTGTTTGAATATAAGTTTATGTGGACAGCAAACAAATTATTTACATGCCTCGGAAGAATTTGGTACAATCTGATCTAAGACTACGACTGAATTACTAGAGAGGATAATTCTCAAAAAATTTATGTTTTGCAATGATTATCAACCAAAGTCAAGGTTAACATTATAATTTGTTGGATTATTTTTTACCAATTTGTTGTAATTCCTAAAATTTATCACAAAATTGATATTAAAACACTTTGTTGAGTACACATTCAATTCTTCAAATATTATTTATTTGACTTTAGATTTTTCGTCTATAGTATTAAAAATCATGTAAGAAATAAATTTTTTTATTTCAAAAAATTATTACATTGAAAAAGTTTTAGAATCAACAAAAATTTTGTTCGATCCCGTGCGACGCATAGAATGCTAATATTATTATATATGGTAGATTCCATACTTGTTTAGGGTTCATTGTTAATATTGTTTCCTTATTCTTAACCATCTTACGTGTATATAAGGGGAGGTGAATACTTTGTAATAATTATCGAAATATACAATTCTTCAAGTTCAAACTCTATGTTTGGACTTTGGAAACCTTGAAAATTTTAGATTTAAATTTGAGACAAATTTCCCTAATTCATAACAAAGCTCATTTGAAATATACATATCTTCTCTTGTCATTTGAAATAATATAATTCAAATTTTCAAATTAAAATACAAGAATTGAAATTAAATGTTACTTTCCAAACACTACCCTATGAAATTTGAAAAATGAATTAGTGTATAGTTAGAATTAATTCAGGTAGTGTTTGGGAACTAACATTTTTTTCAATTCCAAAATTTGAATTTTTGAATTTCAAATGACAAGGGTAGATATATGGATTTAAAATTAAGCTTTGTTATAAACTAAAAGAATTTGACTTAAACCCAAATCTAGATTTTTTAAGTTTTTCA